CAAGTAGTGCCTCTCTAGTGAGAACTCCTGGACCTTAGATAAGAAGTTATAAATTAGCCAGAATGCCTCCAAGCATTTTGGTTGATTGAATGTTCTCATTAAATCAGAGCTAATCAGAAAACCCTAGGGAAAAATCACCTTTTTCTGTTATTTTTTTAACCCAACATCTGAGTTCATATGACTGTCTCCATCAGTCCAGCACAATGGACATAACAGACTCTCTCCTCTGCTCACTGAAGACTTTGCAGCATCCTGCCTGGGGTGTCTGGGGCTGGCAGTATCAACATCGAGGGAAAAGGGAGTGACACATGGCATCAGCTCTTCTGTGCCACTCTCTACAAGATGCTGTCTGCTTCCAATCCTAGCTCTGTCTCTTTTGCCTCAAAGTCAAGATCCTGAAAGCACTGCAACTGTGAATTCCCTGTCCCTCCCTTCCGGACACGTGAGTTCTAGTCTACAGCAAGCATCCGTGGTGTGCCTGGTCGTGCTCATGCCACGTGAGCTGTGGGGATCATAGCAGTGAAAGACCAGCCCTAGACCTCCCAAAGCCAACATCCATTCCAGGAGGGGATAGGGATGGTGGAAGAGTTTGACATCCATGTGTGACCATTGCAATAGGTGAAAAGACAAGCAGGAGGCGGGGGCAGCGGCAGGAGTGTTGTAGGATACGGTCATTATTTTACATAAGATGGTCAGAAGAGGTCCCACTAGACCTGAAGGAGGTGAGGGAATATTGTTGTTGTTGTTGTTATGTGCTGTTGAGTCAGCCCCGACTCATAGGGACCCCTCCTTGGGCTGCCAAGGCAGTATCACTACAGAAGTAGATTGCCCAACCTTCCTTCCGAGGAGTGGCTAGTGGGTTTGAACCACCAGCCTTCTGGTTAGCAGTCAAGTGCCTTAGGCACTATGCTACCAGGTGAGGGAGTGAGTCCTCCTCAAATGTGGTGGAAGCAGTTCCAGGCTGAAGGGACCAGCAGTACGAAGCCCTGGGCTGAGAAGGTGCTTGGTGTGTTGGAGGGGCAACCAGGAGAGATGGTACAATTGGGATGAGTGACCAAGACCAGGGAAAGGCAGTGTGGTGGATAGTTACAGAGAGTCGCCATGTTCTAGGCACTGAGAAGACACAGAGTAGACAAGACAGGGGCTGGTCCTGCCCTCACAGAGCCTACAGGGGGCTTCACAGGGCAGTCAGGGAGACTGACAACAAGCAACTATACCAAAACCAATCTCACTGCCATCAAGTGGCTTCTGACTCATAAAGACCCCCACTGGGTTTCCAAGGTGGTAAATCTTTACGGAAGTAAAGATCTGCCTTCTCTGGAGTAGCTAGTAGGTTTGAACCACCAACCTTCTGATTACCAGGCAAACGTCTTAGGCACTGTGCCACCAGAGGTCCCTGACGGCAAGGAAGTAAGGCAAATAAACAGCCCAAAATTACAGAGCCTGGAAAGGGCTCTGAAGAAAACAAACAGGACTCGTGACAGGACAGTGTGGCTGCTGCAGGGAAGCTGCAGACAGGCGTCAGGGAGGGTCTCTGAGGAGGTGACCCTGGAGCCAGAACTGAAAAGGAGGACATGTAAATGTTCCTCTGTACACAGTAGTTGGTCTGTCTCACACCAGCCCTCTGAGGTACGTTTCACCATTAGCACCACTTTACAGGGAGGGGAGGTGACTTCCCAGAAGTCACACACACTGTAATTAAGTAGTGAAGTGGGATCCAGCCTGAGTCTCTGTGACCCAAAGCCTCAACTTTTTTTTTTTTTTTTTTTTTAAGTAACTTCTCTACTTCCTGGCTTGCTCTGGGTCTGGGGGAACGTCCTCCACCACCCCACCCCCACTCTTAAGCCAATGCATGAACACAAGCCACTTTCACGGCCTGGAACGAGGTCACAGATCTGCTTGGCCTGTGAGGTGAGGCCCCCAGGTTCAGCACCAGCTCTGATCTCAGCATCATCAGGGCCTTGGGAAGCTGCCTGGTCTTCCCCAGGGCTTGGCTACCTCAGTGGGGAAGGGGCTAGTGAAGCCCACCTCACAGGGCCGGGTGAGCACTCAGTGGCAAGTCTGGCTGGTAATGAGGGCTCCACAAACAGCAGTTTCCTCTGCCCCTTTCATCCTCTCTCAACAGCTGGTAAAGGGGGTGAGTTATTGCCAAGGGCAAGTTGAGTGCCAAGACCCGTTTACAGCTACATGATGAGTTTCCTGGACCATGGGCACTTACGCCTTTAGAGGCATATACACCCGCATGCACACACAGACATACACACAATACATATATACCAAACCAAACCAAATCTGTTGTCATTGAGTTGATTCTGACTCATGGTAACTCTACGGCTGTCAGAGTACAACTTGCTCCACAGGGTTTTCAAAACTGTGACCTTTTGGAAGCAGATCAGCTGGCTTTTCTTCTGTGGCACTCTGGGTGGCCTTGAACTGACAACCTTAATGTTAACACTCAATCTCTTCATAGTTTATGCCACCAGGGACTCCACATATGCACACACATGTACATAAATGCATGCGCATAACGTTACATGTTATGACTGTGTTGGTATAAAACCAACAACCAAACCAAACTCACTGCTGCCAAGCCAATTCTGACTCATAGTGAACCCCACTGGATTTCTGAGGCAGTAAATCTTCATGGAAGTAGATTGCCCCATCTTCTTTCCACAGAATGGCTGGCGTTGAACCACCAACCTTCTGGTTAGTAGGCAAACGCCTTAGGCACTGCACCACCAGAGCTCCTTGCATTGGCATAAAGACAAATGAATTACTATTATTAATAATAGGAGCTCTGGTAGCATAGTGCCTGAGGCACTTGACTGCTAACAAGAAGGCTGGCGGTTCAAACCCACCAACCACTCCTTGGAAGGAAGGTTGGGCAATCTACTTCCGTAGTGATACTGCCTCAGAAACCCAAGAGGGGTCGCTATGAGTCGGGTCTGACTCAACGGCACATAACAACAACAACAATATGTGTTATTACTATTGTTATTAGTTGTCACTGAGTCACTTCCGACTCACGATGGCCCCATGTGTGCAAAGTAGAGCTTTGCTCCATAGGATTTTCAAGGTTCTGAAATTTTGGAAGCAGATCATCAGGTTTATCTTCCGAGGTGCCTCTGAGTAACTTCAAACCACCAACCTTTTGGCTAGTAGTTAAGTGCTTAACTGTTTGTGCCACTTAATTATTTTATAGCATGGAATATAGCCATTCAGTTTCAGCAGCCAATTTTCTCACAAGTAGACCACCACATCCTTCTTTCTAGTTTGTCTGAGTCTGGAAGCTCCCATGAGACCTATCTGCCATCGATAAACCTGCTGGTATTTGAAATAGCAGTGGTGGAGCTTCCAATGTCACAGTAACATGGAAGCCACCAGAGTGCACAAACTGACAGAAGAATGACCACAGTGCAAAACAGCTGTAGTACTACATTAACAGGGAACTGTCACAGACTCAAGCCAGATTCAGAAGACGGTGTGGGACCATGGATATCATTGCTGCTATCTGCTGGCTCTTGGCTAAAAGCAGAGAATATGAGAAAGATTTTTACCTGTGCTTTACTGATTATAAGGAGCTCTGGTGACATAGTGCCTAGTGCATTTGACTGCTAATCAGTAGATTGGCAGTTCAAACCCACCAGCCACTCTGCAGAAGGAAGGATGGGCAATCGACTTCTACAACGATTTACCACCTCAGAAACCCAAAGGGGGTCGCTATGAGTCAGAATAGACTTGATGGCAGTGAGTTTGGTTTTTTGGGTTTTTATTGATTATGCAAAGGCATTCAACTATGTGGATCATAACAAATCATAGATAACATTGCTAAGAATGGGAATTCCAGAACACTTAACTGTGAATCATGCCAAATCCCACAATCTCTTTATTCCAGCTTGATGTCTCAATATCCCCTCTAAATGCCCTCTCCCACTAATCCAATCCATCACCAAGTGCTGTGTTTAGTTGCTAAACACCTCCAGATTCTGCCCTCTTCCCAGGGACAGGCAGCTGCTCTCTCTCCTGGCCACCTTCCTACCATGTCCATGTCTCCATACCTGGCTGAACGTTTCAGAACAGGAACCTGACCATACCACAAACCTGACTACAGCCTAGAATGCTTCTCATTGCTCCAGAGTGAAACCAAAGTCTTTTCATAACCCACAGAGACCTCTCCAGTCTGAGTCCAGATGACCTCTCTAACCTTGCCTTGCTTCATGCTTCCAAGCCCTTGGTCATATCTAACTGTGTTCATTAATTGCCAGGATCCCAGAGAAATTAGGTTTGCCTAATCTGGTGGTGTTAGTGGCTAAGACACTTGCCTGCTAACCAGACGGCTGGCGGTTCAAACCCACCAGCCACTCCTCGGAAGGAAGGTTGGGCAATCCTACTTCCATAGTGATACTGCCTCGGAAACCCAAGGAGGGGTCGCTATGAGTCGGGGCTGACTCAACGGCACATAACAACAACAACAATCTGGTGGTGTAGTGCCTAAGGCATTTGACCGCTGCCCAGAAAGCTGGCAGTTTAAACCCACCAACCACTCCTTGGAAGGAAGACTGGGCAATCTACTTCTGCAGAGAAACTGCCTCGGAAACCCAAGGAGGGATTACTACGAGTCAAAATTGACTCAACAACAGTGAAAGTAAAGCACACCATCAGAGCACCACACTCTGTCATCTCAGGTTCATTGTATATGTATATGTTTGTCTGTTAGCTTGTTCATCATCTCTCCCTCTAAGACATAAGCCATGTCAGGCTGCCTCACTGCTGTATAGAATGATCCCCAGTACACAGTAGGTGCTCAGTGTGTTTACTGAATGCATGGACACATGAATGAGTGAACATCTAAACTAATGAAAACACACAAATGTGTATTCACGCTCATCTCTGCACTCAGAGCCTTGAACAGCCTCTGCCATGGCTTTTTATGCAACTGACAAGGACATATTCCAAAATCTAAGCTGGACTCAGTCTCCTGGTGACCCTTGCTCCCTTACCTTCAGCCCCAGCTCCTTTCTTCTCAAAGGCTGCACACAGACACTCGAGCACCACGATATCATTGGAGCCTTCCACCCGGACCTCCTCATCCAGGACCCAGAAAAGGCCTTTGGCATCTTCAGCATGATCTCCAGCTGGTAAGCGAACCTGGGGTGGTGGGGGGAGACCCAGGATGCATTAAGACACTCTGATCCTTGATGGAGGCCAATTCCTGAACTGTTTTTCCCATCGATAGGGATTTAAACTCACTGCTGTCAAGTTGGATCCGACTCACAGCAACCCCTCCTTGGGTTTCTGAGGTGGTATCACTATGGAAGTAGATTTGCCCAACCTTCCTTAAGGGGACCCAAATCCCAAGGACCATGACTCAGAACAAAGCTGCCCAGACCAATGTTCCTGCTCACTCCCAAATGCCCAGTGTCAAAACCAAAAAATGGAACAACTTCTCCACTATAAGGGGTCCAAATCCTTCCTCTGTCCTCCCTCCCTGTGTGACCTTAGGCAAGTCACTGCACCTCTCTGAGACTCTGTTTCCTCTTATATAAATAGATAATGGAAATATCTTCCTCAGAGGGCTGTGGTCAGGATGAATGAGTGTCAGGCAGGGAAAAGCACTCTGTAAGTCACACATTTCTAGATAACACACAGGGCGGCCCGTCTGTTTGTGCACAGTGAGATGTGAAAGGTTTGATTTCATCTACATCACTTGCTCTTAGAAGTCTTTTTATTTCTTTGAACTAAAATCTTGAAAAACTATAAGCACTCAAAGAACGTTTCAGAGGACAAGGTCAGCTTAATTCAAAGCTTTTAAATTTTAAATCTAGCTACGAGCTTCAGAGAGCTTCAATGCCAATCTTTTATTTTGTACATGGGAAGGAGCCCCGGTGGTGCAATGGTTAAGTGCTCAACTGCTAACTGAGAGGTTGGCAGTGTGAACCCACCCAGCTGCTCTGCAGGAGCCTGGCAACCTGCTCCAGCCCAGGAGACCCTACGGGGCAGTTCTATGCAATAACGTTGAGTCACTATGAGTCAAAAATCGACTTACTGGCACTAACAACATCAACAATGGGAAACAGAGAAAGGCTGGGGAGTTTAAGTGTCTTACATATTTGAGGGCTTGCTATGAGTTGGCCCAACCCAAAGCAGCATCAGGTGGTTATGCAGGAAATATAATGTGTAGGGTGACCCAACTTGCCCAGTTTTCCCAGGACCAGAAGGCTTCCCAGAACACTTGCTTTCCAGTGCTAAAGCCAGGAAATTCCCAGAAAACCAGGACAAGTGGGCACCCTAACTTAGAAATATTGGTACATATCCCTCAGAGGCCCAGAAAGGAGAAGGGAGATGTCCAGGGTCACACACAGAGTCAGAGCAGAACCAGAATTAGATGCCAGGTATCCTGGGCCTTCACCTTGGCCTTCTCTGTTGGACTTGAAATTGACCGCTGGCTGTTTGTCATAAGGTAAATGTTCCCAGCCACATACAGCCCAGTGGTCTTGGGGACATGCTGGCTGTTCCCTCCCCACATTGCCTAAGTCATTCCCTCAATCATGCCCCTTTCAAGGAGAGGCCCAGGTGAGGAAGTACAGTGGTAGGGAAACCAGCGAGAGAGATGCCAGGAAGAAGCAGGTGCACTGTGAACAGCCCACAGGCATTTGAACAAGGGAGCTTCCTGATGATAAGTACAGCCCACCATGAGCCGAGGGAAGGCTGGAAAACCACCCCTGAGCAGCAGGAGACAAGGACTGAGGAAAAGAATAGCCTATGACACCCAATGGCAGGAGAAATGCCACCTGTAGGACTCTGACTGTATGCCAAGCACCATGACAGGTGTTTCATGTACTCTCCTCCCCAACTTCCACAGCAACCCTAGAGGATATTATTATTTCTGTTTTGGAAATGAGAAAAATGGGGCTCAGAGAGACAAAGTGATTTGCCCAAGGTCACCAAGGTTGGATCCAGGCTTGACAGGATTCCCAGCCCAAGAACTTTCACACCAAGATGCAAGGGACCAAAAAAAAAAAAAAAAGAAAAAGAAAGAAGAAGAAGAAGTAGAAAGTCAAGTTAAATGGTCAAGGGCAGTGCTTAGAATGGCTTGAGCAAGAGGTGCAGGTCTGGGGTCAGCAAAGCAGGTTCTAGGGATGAGCAAGACTCAGACATCTCCCAACCTCAACTCTGTTTTCCCCAACTAGGCCAGGGACCTGAACCCATTATCACCTCCTCCTCTCCATTTCCCAAAGACCCAATTTCCACCAGGGTGCAGCATCTTTGTCTGAACACCTGATCTTTCCAGGTGACAGTGGCTGGCTGAGGTCACACCCACTGCTGAAGGCCCTTCAGCTCAGACCACAGGCTTCTCGTTGTGAGTCTAATTCTCAGGCATAGAGTGAGTCATAAAGCAGTGGCTGTCAACCTGAGGAGCCTGTCAACACCCCCTGACCAATCAGTGCAGGATCTGGGGATAGGTCCCAGGCATCCGTGTTTGCAGCAATTCCTGGGTGATCACAGGTACAGAAGGTACTGTGAACTAGTAACCGCAAGCTTCAAATCAGCTGATAGTTCACTAAAAAGGCCAGGTGGTATCTAAAAGTTAGTTTGCTGAGCCCCATGTTACCTGGGAGGGATTCTGATCTACAACTGCCACCGTGGTCCCTGGAGATGGTTCTGGAAGGTCAAACTGCACAGGAATGCTTTCCTGGAAAATCACAAGAGTTTAAGAGTTAGCTCCTTTAGTGATCTGCATGCAGTAGAAAATGCATGAAGGGGGAAGAAGAAGTGTGAGCATCCATCACCCTGTGGCCTTTGTATTTGAGAAAGAAGATTGTAGACCAACGTTTCAATAACATTCTGATATTGTCCACTTTCCAGGGTCATCAGCCATCACAGTGTGAGCTCTGTCACAAGCTGACAGTTCAGCTCAAACTTCCCTAACATTTCATGAGGACCTAATATGTGCTGGGCTGAGTGCTAGGCATTGGCGACAACAAACATAAATCATGGATAACAACATTTGTGTATAAAAATTCTCAGGAATGTCAACACAGCACTGTGCCCAAAGATGTTCATCACAGTGTTGTTTATAATAGCTTAAACTTGGAAACCACCAGATGTTCAAACAAAGGAGTGAAGACAGAATCACACATAACCACTGAAATGCGTGTTTACTGGGAGTCGTAAATGGAGCGAAGACATGTGAATAATATAACGCTGTGAAGAAAAGAGCAGACGGCCCAATTATGTACATATCCAGAAGGACTGCGAGTCAGCAGAGACGACAACGTATAGGAACGTTACCGGTGTAAAATACAGCAGATTGGTAACCGTGGGTGCCTCTGGTGACAGAGCTATCAGGAGACTGTGTCTTCTGCATCTTTACACTTATATGCACTTTTCAGTTTTTTAATAAAGAACATGTATTATTTTCATAATCTAAAATAAGTGAAATACTAGAGGGGGAAGAAAGATAGCTATTCCCATCTATTAAATGACCCATGCCACCAGTATTTCACATGCCAACAGGGTCACCCATGGTGGACAGGTTTTTGTGGAGCTTCCAGACTAAGGCAGACTAGGAAGAAAGGCCTGGCAATCTATTTCCCAAAATTCAGCCAATGGGCACCTTATGACATGGTCCAGCTCGCTGGCTTTGGACACATTGGCAGGAAGCATGAATTGCTAGAGGTGGCCATTGTGTTGATGAAGCAGAAGGCCAGTGAGGGTGAGAGAGACTGATGGGGAGATGGATTGGCAGAACAAACTTGCTGGCGAGCGTGAGGATGATGGAGACTGGGCAAGATTTCATCCCACAGTAGATGAGGTCCATAGGGCAACTTGATGGCAGCTTATCTATCTAACTAACAGACTATGTACGTCCTATCCTACCTCCTTCAAGGTCTGAACCATCCCTTTAGGGGGCAGTTCTCTACCCCCATCCGTATCCACACTCATTACAGAGTCATGCTGCAGCTCCTCTCAGCAAGAGGGGGAGCCCATTTCCCCTGCCCTTGAATCAGGGCTTAGCCACAGACTGGCATTGACCAGTCCTATGCAGCAGAAGTGACACTGTTCTGCTCTGTGCATAAGCCTCAAAGGGCCTTGCACACTTCTGCTTCCTCTTCTGGGGCCCTGCCTGGGAACAAGCCTGAGCTAGCCTGCTGGAGGAGGAGACGTTTGTTGAGCAGGGATGAGTCACTCCAGACAAGGCCTGCCTAGATCAGCTGATGGCCAGCCAACCCCTAGACACATGAGAGTCCAGCCATGATCATCAGAGTTATCTATCCAACCTACATCTCCCTGCAAGTGCAAGAACCACTCCAATCAAGACCAAACGAACTGCCCAGCCAACCTTGAGACCCAAAGAAACAGGATTATACTTGTAAATGACGATGGTTTGGAGTTGTTAATTATGCAGCATTATTGTGATGAATGATAACTGATGCAGGAGTATTGTTTCATTTTACATGTAAAGAAATTGAAGATCAGAGAGGGTAAGTGACTCTCCTGTGGCCACACAGCCAGTAAGTGGTAGAATTGAGATCAGGCTCCAGGTCTCATCACTGTTATTGGTTTGAGATTTATCCAAATCAATGCATTTGTTTCCACAAGTGTAGCCTCTGATTCTTTAAGAAATTGTATCAGTTTCAATACCCACCATCTTATTGATGAGCTGCATGGTTATTTCTAGTATTTTGTGCTTAGAATTTGCTGGAGTCAAAGTGGTCACCTTCAGGGTGGAAGGAGGGGCAGTAGTGATTGGAAGTGGTTATGAGGGGGGTGTCTGAGGTGCCAGTAAAGTTCTATTTTGACCCAAGGGGGAGGGGGTTGCATGAGTATGTCCATTTTGATAAATCCATTGCATTGTGCGGGAGCTCTGGTAGCATAGTGGCTAAGGCACTTGACTGCTAACCAGAAGGCTGGCAGTTCAAATCCACCAGCCACTCCTCGGAAGGAAGGTTAGGCAATCCTACTTCCGTAGTGATACTGCCTCGGAAACCCAAGGAGGGGTCGCTATGAGTCGGGGCTGACTCCACGGCAAATAACAACAACAACAACAACATTGCATTGTGCTGTATTCTTCTCAGTTATTCACTTTTCTGTATGAATGTTGTATTTTAACGTCATCTTTTTGTTGTTGTTTTAATGAGAAAAGAAGGGCTGGAAGGGACATGTTTACAGGTTCACATGCATGGATTGCCTAAGGTGCCTCCTAGAAGGGCAGCTGCTGGCATTGGCATCTGTCACATTTAGCTTGGTTAGACAACGCCATGTTGTGCTCCAAAGGGGGCATAAAATCCATTGTCTTCACCCAACAGCAGAGCACGACTGGCTTTCCATGTGAGTGGAGGTGCAGGCTGACTCTTAGGGAGCCTGTCCCTCTGCTGAGGTGGGCAAGGAGGCATAGGCCATCCTGCAACAGGACAGCCATGTGACCAGAGGCCTGGGAGCTCCAAATTCACTGCTGTTTGAGGACCGCAGGGTGTGGGGCATTGGGTGGAGTTTTGGCTGCAGAGGGCAATAGGGGAGCAGCTGAGCCTTGGGGACTGGCCAGGAGCTAGGCTTTGCTCAGTGGTGGGCCAAACAGGGGTGAGACTGAAGGTAGACCTGAATCCGACCCCTCCTCTTCCCAGCCTCAACCCCTCCACTGAGCCCTGGCAAAGCCCACTCTGCCCAGTCTCACCTCTCGGTACCGCTCCACCATGGAGACAAAGGTCCGCTGATAGAAAAGCAGCTGCAAGCGTTCGTGAGTATAATTATGACACAGTTCCTCAAAGGTCGCGGCACGGTCCTTACCCTGGTGCCGGGGGTTCTGAAAGCCTGGAGAATCCACCACCATGATGGAGGCCATGGAGAGGTGGTGGGAGGAGAAGGCTCTAGAAGAGAGCAGAGAAGCCCTGAGATGACGTGGAGTCTTAGAGCCCCACTGGTCCAAGCCTCCCACTCTCCCTCTGCACAGAGGGAAAAACTGAGGCAGCATACTGGGTGAACTTGGGGATCTAGCAGATCCATTAGGCTCACCACATACAGGCTGTGTGACCCTGGGCAAGTTGTTTAACATCTCTGAGCCTAGTTTCCCCAACTATAAAACAATGGTGAGGTGAGAAGGAAAATTCCAAGTGCTGCAGTAAGGACCGAAGGAGTTAAGGTATGAAGAATGCTCCCACAACACTCCAGAAATGTTACTTCCCTACCAGGAGGCCGAGTGGAGAAATGACTTGCTTGGTAGACTCTGAAGATAGTCAAACATAGCCCAGACCTTCACTCTGCAACTCTTGCCTTGGGAGAATCTCACTTAACCTCTCTGAGCCTCAAACGTCTCAGCCACAAAAGGTTAATGATGGAACCCAACAGAGGACTGATTGAAGGGTTGCATGTATTAAGGCCTCCATTACCCTGAACACCACAAGGTACTTCATGTGGTAAATGCTCGGCAAATGTTACCTGATACTACTATCACTAGCATCATCAGCTATAAGCTTTAGAGGGCCCTTAGTCTAAACGTGAACTCTTTTCCGTTATGTGCAAGTTTTTCCATTCATAGAAAACCAATTGCTATTGATTTGAATTCAACTCATGGTGACCCGATGCATGTCAAAGTAGAACTGTGCTCCATAGGGTTTTCAGGGGCTGATTTTTTTTTTTTAATTTTTTCTTTTTGCAGTGTTCCCTCCCCTCCCCTCCCACCCCTGCTAACCAGCAAAGAAAAGTATCCTTCCATATACAAACCTTTCCTTGACTTTTTATAATAACAAAATAATACAATATTTGTCCTTCTATGATTGACTTATTCAACTCAGCAGAATGTCCTCCAAGTTCATCCACGTTATGTGGTGTTTTGAAGATTCTACATTATTCTTCAGGGTTGCACAGTATTCCATTGTATGTATGTACCATAGTTTGGTTACCCATTCTTCTGTTGATGGGCACTTAGGTTGTTTCCATCTTCTTGCTCTTGTAAATAGTGCTATGGTGAACATGGGTGTGCAGTGGCTGATGTTTTGGAATTAGATCACCAGTCCTATCTGCTGAGGTCCCACCGGGTGGACTCGAACCCCCAACCTTTCCGGTTAGCAGCTGAGCACGTTAACCATTTGCACCAGCCAGGGACTCCTTCCTTTCTATAAAATGGGGTTGATAAGAACAGCTGCCACATAGACACGCACAAAGATTCAGTTGGATGATGCCTGGAAAGCCAGGTGCTCAGTAAAAGATGGTGGTGGGTACTGTCATTGGCAATACAGTGTATAAACATTTTACAGATGTGAGTTCCAAGCTCCCAGACCACAAGGCAGCCCGCTTTTGCTGGCTGAGGCTGCTTCCTTTGGCCAGCAGTTCATTTTCCAACCCCAGCACTCTGTCCTCAAAGCATGCATGATCCCCTTGGCTTCTAGATAATGTGTCTGTGGTCTTGGACAGCAATGACTCTAGCAGCAATTAAGGGAGTTGATTCTGTGTTCGCAACGACAACCCCTGGCTCTGTTGCTACGCACCCACCCCATCGCCTTGACAAGACTTCAGAGCTAATTATGCCTCCTGCTTCCCTGGAGGAGGGAGGGAAGCCCTTGCCTACCTCCTGGAAAGACCAGCCAGAATTGTTTAAAGGGCTTTAAAGAGTGTGGCTCAGGCTGGTAGAAGGCAGAGGCTCCTGTGTCTGCAGTTCCCCAGACACATTATGGAGATGCATTCCAGTCCACTCTGAAATCCCACTCCTCCTGCTCCCCATTGCCAGCAGGAAAATTTAGAAAAATAAATGGTTGAACGCAGTATGGTAGGTTATTCAGGGAAACTCGAAGGTGCAAGGTGGGGGTCCAGCATTGTGTTCCCATCCCACCTCCACCTCTCTGTGCCTCAATTTCCTCATCTGTAACATGGGCTGATGTTGGAGATGATACGAGGCAAGGTACACAATGAGTGAGGGTAAGGGCGTTCAGCAGAAGACTTCCTGCCTTCCCTGTGGGAGTCCTGATTTGATTCCCAGCCAGGGCCCCTTCTGTGCAGCCAGCCTCATATGTCAATGGAGATGCAATGATGCTGAACAGGTTTCAGTGGAGCTTTTAGACTAAGGGTAGGAAGAAAGGCCCGGTGATCGTCTTCCACAAACCAGCCAATGAAAACCCTATGGATCCCCAATGGAACAGTATAGAAAGTCCAGATATAGACCCATCCATCTATGGACAACTGATCTTTGACAAAGGTCTAAAGCCCATTAAATGGGGAAGAGACAGCCTCTTTAACAAATGGTGCTGGCAAAACTAGATATCTACCTGCAGAAAAATGAAACAAGACCCATACCTCACCCCATACACAAAAACAAACTCAAGCTGCATCAAAGACTTAAATGTAAAACCCAAAACTATAAAATTCATCAAAGATAAAATAGGGGCAAATCTGGGAGCCCTAATTTATGGCATAAATAGACTGTCAAGCATAACCCAGAATGCGCAGGAGAT